AGACCTTGGAGTCTCATTGAGGGCCGGGCCGGGGACATCGTGGGGCGCTGAGGGCGGACGGGGCCTAGGGGGTCAATGTGTGAGGTGAATGCAGGGCTGCTGTCACGGGATCCGGCGGGACGGGAGCTGGGGACGCTCGGGGCTGAGGCTGCTGGGTTTGAAATACATGGAAGGTGGTGTGTTGTGTAACAGAGGGCTGGCGGAGGCAGGCGGGTTCGGAAAACTGAGCGTAGGGACTGTCAGAAAACTGCTTCGACAAATTCCCAGAGGAGGGGTTTGTAAATAGGTGCTGGAGTGGGTGGGCAGCAATCCTAGCACTGCAAATCCAGCAGCTGCTGATGCTGGGAGAGGATGAGAGGAGTCTGTCGGAGATGCTGTCCTAGAGTAGCATTGGCTGTTGCCGCTGTTGGAGAGAGAATATTGGGCAAAGTGGACTGGTGACCTGGCTCATTTCTTGATATGCTTCAAAAGAAAGAGGAGTTATGTTGGGTTCTGGCTATGCATGAGGTTTTATCCTTACCTGTAAAGCAATGTTTGAACTGCTGGCATGAAGCTGTTTGGAATAGTAGGTGAAATTAATTTTAGTAACATTGCAAGGAATATAGGGCTAATTAGTCTTTAGAAAAGTCTGAATGTTCTGGAAGAAAAGAATGACCCAAAAAAATGACATCAGTTGCTAAGGAGATTTTCTGCTGCATTAAAGTAGAAGAAAGTTGATAAATGATGTTAATCAGTGACAAATTTTTAAAAGTAGTAAGTAGTTATTTGCAAAAAAGATCAAGCATAATCTGGAGGAAGTCTGTAAGAGCCCAAACAATCCTGTATGATAGGATTGTGTAAGTGTGAGCTTTCCTTGGCAGGAAAACATGTTTTTTCTTTATAAGGGAGTGTTTTCACCTTTTTGGGGAAAAGATGTAGAAATGTTAAGTGGAAATAATACAACTCAATGACACTTTTAACATTAAAAATATAGGTTTTTGATTGTCCATAGAACTCTGGCGTCCTTCACTTGTGTGTATTTTACATGGTCCCTCCTGCCTTCAGTCCTTCTGGAGGAGAATATTTACTGTTCAAGTTTTCACTGCTATCTTATAGAGCCTGCAATGAGATAGGTGAGGAGTTGCTACTGAGATCGCTAAAAAGTATGACTTACTGAAGGGGATTTATACTAAGTCTAATGGAATATTGTAAGAGAGTAACCTTATACAGTGGTCTGTAATACATTATTTTAATTTAAGTATTGAATTCTGTCATCTTCTGTTAAAGTTTTTGTTATTTACTACATATTATTTTCAGGCTGGCAGCATTTGTTTTGTTTGAGTATGTTTGTGTTGTTTTGAACACTGGAATCTTTTTCAGAGATCATGAAAACACAGCTTCCAGCTTGCTGCAGGATCACTATCTTGATTCATCTTGGAGAATGGATAACAGTCTAGTAAGTATTTTTTTAAATTAATGGTACTTCTAGCAAGATTGTCAGAACTTCTGTTCTCTCTGTTCTCTTCCCTATGCATATGCTTTTTTAGGTTTTTAATTGGTGCTTTTTGCTTGCTTTTAGAAGCTATTATATTGATTCTTGATAGTCAAGTAACAGTGTGACAAAATTAAAATACTAAAACATATTTGTATGGTTTGCAGCCATGGACGTTGGACAACAGCATTAGTGAGGAAAACAGGGCCGTCATTGAGAAGATGTTGCTGGAAGAAGAGTATCCTTTTGCTGATTTGCTTGTATGTTTTTCTGTAGATCGAGAGATAACTTCCTGTTTCCAAAGGAACTGGATAAATCTTTTGTTCTTAAGGTGACTGAAGCACTGTCATTTTGTAGGTAGATTGCAGAAGTCAGGGAGGACCCCTGGATTAATCATCTAGCTGCCTGCAGCTTCCTCTGGTGCTTCTCATTGTTCAGAAAATGACTCTAATAGCTTGTCAGATTTAAGCTGACGCTGGCACCAAAAATAGTGATATTCATCCCCACTTCAGCTGCTTATTCATTGTGCTGATGCAGCCATTTGTGTAGTTTCATAGTGAACCTGAGCAAGCAGCTGATCTTGCTAAAAATAGCTAGTTCTTTTTGCTGAATGTTCTTAGCTTGGACTGGTTTACAGTCTGATTTTGTCTGGCTTCATTCATACTTCTGCCAGCATGCAAGATGAAAACAGGAAGGAACAGCATCTGCTTTTTTTTTTTTTTTTAAGGCAGTGTTGGCTTAAATAGTCTTAGCATTAGTAGTAGTGCGGTAGTAATCACGGGCTAGTTTATTTTCATGTTCTTCTTGTAACTGAGTGTAATAAAATACAGTAATAGAGGAACAAGAACATAAAGGAATTAAAGTTTTCTTAATAGAATGAATTATTGAGGGTTAATTTGAAAATAGATAAGGTATAAGTATGATGAAAATTTATTCAAAAAAGAAAAATGTTGTAGAAACAGGATACCTAGTTTGCAGCGAGTAAAGTGAGCATGCGGGTTCGGAAGTCAGGTGTCACTTCCTTGTGCATTAAACTAATAGGAGTGTGTGAAATTGTGTATTTCAGTTTTGAAAGCAGTGCAGTGTGTGCTTCTACAGCTGAATAATTATGAAGGAGTAAAATGTATGCGATTATTAGAATTCTTATATGTACAAATATCTCTGATACTTCGAAAACTTAATAACTTTCAGATATTATTTATCTAATAAATCACTTTCTGAAAAAATATGGCTCAATCAAAAGGAAGTGGAGAAAAGATCTGTGAAAAGGTAAGCTGTGTTCTGGAAAAGTTCTCAGATGAGAAGAAATGAAAAGTCCTTCCAAAATAAGGTTATTTGCTGAGGTATGCAACAAAATCACAATTATTAATTGTCACTTTCACTTTGTTTTTTATTTGCAGCCCACATAAGAAAACTGGAAAAGTCATGTACGTACATTTTTACAATTAAGTTGCATTTTTAAATGTGGCATCTGATTTTTTTTTTTTTAAGTTGCTGGACACTTTGTAACAAAAAAAAAAATTACGGTTCCTTAGTTCCTTTTGCTTGAGTGTACAAAATTATTTCAGAGACCTTTCAACGTAAAGAAATACTGTTGTGGGGAATAATAGGCCTGGTTTCTGGAGCACAGTGGTCCTTCTGAAAAAACCCTTGTTAATGCTGGTTGGCTTTCTTGCCTGAACTCTTCTGTTTGCTGCTTCTATATATTTCTGTACTGTTGGGTACTGGTTAATGTTGTGTTGTCTTGAATCTCCCTGTGTGATGGAGAAGCTGACATGATTCTTGGTATTTTATTTATCAGCCACATTCATGTTTGAAACAATACCTCGAGTTTTACAGAAGATGGGGAATAGTCCTCCTGTCAGAAGTTGCCTTCAGTTACTGGAGTTTGAGAATAGATATTTTTAAGAAAGCACTAACTTCTGTTTCCTGTTTTCCTAGGGTGCGATCACCTACAAAACCAGCTAGCTACTCATTAAAGTGGACATTGGAAGAAAAAGAACTGTTTGAACAAGGACTGGTAAGTTTGTTTATATATGTAATATTTTGAATTTAAGTCATTAGTTTATCTTGAATAACAAAATAATAATATAAAGAAGCATATATTTCTTTGCTTCTGCTTTTGAATTTCTAATGTGTTAAAAATAATTGCCGTCTACTGGGAGTGTAATGATAAGTCAGATTTATATTGATGAATCCCCCAAAATGGCTTTGTTTACCAGATTTTTTTTCCTGTGAGGCTGATTACAATTTGAGATCACAAAATATCTGAAGTATACAGCTTTATGAATTGTACAATCCTAATGCTGTAGTTAACCACGGGAAGTATAATGTGTGCTTAAGGCAAATCAGCTGAAAAAGTGAAATCCTTTAACTACCGGTGTAAGGTCTTCAGAGATCACGTGGTTGTACAGTGTGGAATGCAATAGGGTTTACTTTGCCAAGTACAAATTCATTTCAGGAGGATTCCTTGGGTTAGTAGGCAGCTTAATTTACTGTGTGCCTGAACTGGGTGAAGAAGTTCCTCTATTTAAGAAGAATAGCAATAACTTACTGTTGGATGCAGTTTTCTTCTTGATAGGATACAAGTAGCGAGGTTCTTTACCGTAGGTTTACTTTGCTGTTTATGAATTTGTAATTAATAATTGAGTTTTAAACTCTTTAGGCGAATAAAGTGCAATGCTGGAATGTTAGTGTTTGAGTAACTTAAATGTGCTTTGTTGTACTAGGGGAAATTTGGCCGCCGGTGGACGAAAATTGCCAAGTTGATTGGAAGTCGTACTGTTCTACAAGTAAAGAGCTATGCTCGGCAGTATTTTAAGAACAAGGTAAAGAGAGTATCTGTGTAGTTAGCAAAAAGGCTGTTTGACAAATATGATGTACGTACGGCTTGATTTTAATCTGTCTTTTCAGGGTACTGCTTTTAACGTACATACTCTGTTTATTCCCATATTCAGAAAAGTGGAGTATGCTTATTTGCAGATTTAAATATGAAGTCAGACCTGATCTCAAATTCCTAGAGTGACTTCAGTATTTTTATCACTGGTATACCTAAACAGTAAATGTAGTTTAATTGTAGTCTCATATACTGATGGTTGTTGGTCTGAAAATACTTGTTTTCAACTTTACAGCTATTTAATGCTGTGTCAAAGTCAATTGCAATGGATTAAAATGTATTAAAAGGGTGAACACTTCAGAGTGTCTGCTGTTCAAGTAAAATAGTTCTGACTATTTGGGATGCAGAGGGGATTGTTTTGTTTTTCCCTCCTAAAAGTATTTTATATCTTCCTAAGGCAAAACATGGTGACTCTGAAAAAGAAGAGCAAAGTCAGTGCGGCGGCAGCAGTCTTCCCACTGAAGATGGGATACGGGCAGAGGCATGGTCATCTGGAAGCTTGAGAGGCCGTGCAGACCCCAATCTGAATGCAGTGAAAATTGAAAAGCTGTCAGATGATGAAGAAGTAGACATAACTGACGACATGGATGAACTACTTTCTCCTACCTTCCAGCAAGAAACTGGAAAATCTGAATTATCTGTTATTTCAGAAGGTCCAGCTGAAGAAACAAAAGGAATGGAACACGTTCTTTCATCTGTTGGACACTGTTCTGTGGTTTCTTTACCTAAAGAAGATCCTCAACATACCAAGCAAGATACAGTGGATGCATTAGTATTTCCAGATGTTGCAGCAACATGTTCTCAGCACCTGAATGGTGATAAATCTCTGAACTTAGATTACCAGCAGTACAATAATTTTATTGAGAAAGCTGAACAAAGCAGACTAGGAACATCTCATGGTACTGGAGAAGTAACTGATCAGGAGCTTAATGAGGAACAGAGAGACCTGGCTGATAATGGGTTGCTTTTTCCTTCTCCCTGCCAAGTGGATGAAGATCATCAAGAAGAAGCAGAGGAGCTTAAGGCACCTGATCAAGAGGTGGAGGTTGACAGAAGCATCATTCTGGAAGAAGAAAAGCAAGCTATTCCTGAATTTTTTGAAGGGCGCCAGGCTAAAACACCAGAACGTTATTTGAAAATTCGGAATTATATTTTGGATCAATGGTAAGACGCATTAATTTCATTTACTGAAATAAGTGATTAAGATCACTCATGTCCTGCTTTGTTGTAGTTAAAACACTACTTAGTACCAGTAGCTTACTTCTGAAAAATGAATTTTATGGTTGCATTATTAAGATTGCCATGGAACAGCGCTCATTAATGCTTTTTTTGCATCTTCCCAATTTTTTTTCTGGCATTCTGGGAGCTAAGCAATGAAATTACTTTGAAGCATTATGAAAATGAGTGGCCTATATCAGAACAATCTGCATCCATTTTGGTTGTTATCTTCCATTTTTTTGGTCATCCTATATGTCAGAATGCATATATGGTTTTAATACATGGTTCCTCAAAATAACTGATCAAATTAATTTCAAAATGAGGTCTGTAGCATGGTCGTGCTGCCTTTACAAAAGGGCAGCTAGAAGAAATAGTCTGTACCAGAGCAAATGATGTTGACCAAAAGAATACTTAAGAATCAATTTGGAGTGCGCTTGTACACTTGAATGTTTTATATTCCATCTCCAAATAATTAGTTTAAGGAACCTTAGTGATTTGTGGTAGCAGGCTCAAAATACAGTTTGTTTTCTTAACTGTTTTGGTTTGTGTGCCTGTTACTTAGCTTGCTTTTAAGTCTAAGGAATTACTGAGTTTAACTCTGTTCTCATTCAGTTGTCTTGTGTATTGACAGCTTATTCTAGTTGCAGAGAAACTCTAAAATTCCGTACCAGGGAAGTGTTGAACTGAAACAATTCAGTGTCAGCTTAAAAGCAAGTAGTACGTGTGCAGAGAGTGAAAACAGGTTTATTTATTACACCAAGGAAGCCTATGATTATCTGAGCTATTTAGACTAATCAAATGCAGATGTTCTTATATAAGCTCAACAGTATCGTAGTACTTCTTAGTAATTCATTGCTTCCTGGCACCAGTCATGTTGAAGAGTTTGTTTTAATGCATGGAACATAAGTTTCACTCTGCATAAGTAAGAATGTGTATGAATAACCCTAAAATAAATTGCATGTGTTTTGTGAAATTATATTTTTGCTGTGATTGCCCTGTGTAGCGGTGTGTAGTGTGTGCATCATAGAGGGAAAAAAAACCACTTCAGTGGCTCATCTTAAGTCATACAATTCCTGAATGTGTATGAATAACCCTAAAATAAATTGCATGTGTTTTGTGAAATTATATTTTTGCTGTGATTGCCCTGTGTAGCGGTGTGTAGTGTGTGCATCATAGAGGGAAAAAAACCACTTAAGTGGCTCATCTTAAGTCACACAATTCCTTCCTCCCCATGATTTGTTTTACAGAATCACTGAATGGTTTGGGTTGGAAAAGACCTTAAAGATCAAGTTCCACCCCCCTTCCCTCTGCAGGGACACCTCCCACTAGCCCAGGTTGCTCAAAGCCTCATCCAGCCTGGCCTTGAACCCCTCCAGAGATGGGGCATCCACAGCTTCTCTGGGCAACCTGGGCCACTGCCTCACTACCACACACAGGAAAACATTTCTTCCTAATATCTCATCTCAGTCTCCCCTCTTTCAGCTTAAAAACATTACTCCTGATCCTTTCACTCCACCCCCTGATCAAGAGTCCCTCCCCGTCTCTCCCATAGACCCTCTTTCAGCACTGGAAGGCTTTTGATGCAGCCCAGGATCCAATTGGCTTTACTGTTTGACACGTGCTATACTTTATTTTAGGGAGAGATGTAAACCCAAATACCTGAATAAGACTTCAGTACGTCCAGGCCTCAAGAACTGCGGTGATGTTAACTGCATCGGACGGATCCACACATACTTGGAATTAATAGGAGCGATTAACTTTGGCTGTGGTAAAGATGTTTTTACTGGAATCAGTTTGGAACTTAAATTCTAATTAGTACATGCTGAACACATCTATTGTTGACTCTCAGCTTTTTTGTATTAAAATGTGTGTTTGCATGTGAAGGGTAAACATTAAGGTTACTAGATGTGTCTCCAAAAGACAAGTTGTAAGTTCACTTCATTGGAGTGTGGATGACTGCACTTAACTGGAATCAAGCATCCATGTGGGTAATCTTCCAACGTCTCTGTACTCTTAGTGTCTTAGTTGTTGTTACACTTAAATTCTGCAGAAGATAATTTTTCTTTGGTCTGTGTTTAGCACAGTCGTGTTCTAACCTACTGGCTGCAGCCTATTTTGGTTTTATTGTTGCAGGACTGCTTAATGCTGGGGTATGCTGCTCACACAGAAGGATGCACGCTAATCCTTACTGTGAGGGGCCTTCTGAGCAGATTGTCTCTCGTGATCTTTGAAAATCTAGAGGAGTTTGCAACCTGCTTACAGGATTATGGATTTTTGGCTTTGCACAAAAAAACCTTTTTTCCCACTCTCACCCCCGTTATGTTTACTGCACACCAACTGGTGGGGTAGATTTTTTTACTTTGTGCTTTTCTGTGTGTTCTGTGCTGGGTTTTTGTCCAGATAACCTGCTGCATCTGAAATTCTGCCTTCTATCCATGTAAGACAGAATTCAAGTTATTGTTTCTTTTCCCATACTTGAATTATAACTATTTCCTAAATAAAAGCCAATGTCTTCATTCTCAGGTCTAGTTGTTACAAGATTCAAATGTTAAATTAGGTGACATGTTAGAAGTATATATACACCTATAACTTAATGTTGGTTTAGAGTCTCTGGATTGAGTTTGGTCCAACACTGAATGGCAGTCACCTAGGAGAGGAGCAATGACCTGCAGATACATTTTGTCTGAAATAAATTAACAAGAAGGAAAGAGGCTTTCCTGCCTTAAAGATGCTGTGGTAGTGGGAGAGGGCTATATCATCAGTCAGTAATAAGGCCATTGAGATGTCTTTTCACTGAGGGTTTTTCTGTTATTGCTTTTTCTTAATGGCATTTGTTGTTACTGCTCATCTGTTTCATTCTTGGCTCCATACCAGAAATAAGTGGTTTCATACTTTACTGAAGCACAGTGTATCTCTGTATCCTTTAGAACAGGCTGTCTATAACCGACCCCAGCCAGCTGATAAAACACGCTCCAAAGAAGGCAAAGACACAGTGGAAGCATACCAACTTGCTCAGCGCTTGCAGTCCATGGTACGTTTTGATGAGGGAGGTGGGGCAGCAAAAAACATTCAGCATGGAGAAGGTCTTTCCAATTTTCTTTTTCATACTAGGGCATCTCAGGAAATTTCTTCACTCATTCAGTTTGTAGTTTCATTAGAATGCCCAGTAATTCCAGTGTCAGTCTAAGCATGAGTTCTGCTGTCTGACAGGTGTCTGTCCTAACTTCTGATACCTTACATGTTTGATTTCTGTACATGTACTTAACTATGATTGTGTTTCAGTCTTTTCCCTGCAGCCGTAACCCTGTCCTCCCCATAATTTATGAGCCTGTATTAGCCAGAAAATAGCGGAGTGTGTTGGTAGTGTGTGATAAAGTCACTTGAATTTTAACTGTTATACATACTAGGTATATGATATGACTTGCTGAGAGCCTTATGCACACAATTAGCAGTAACTCATTTATAACTACATGAATTACCAAGGCTTGCCAGATTTAGTTTTCATATTCACATTTAATATAGCATTTTTTTAAGTACTTCATAGCAAAACAAATCAGTTGATGAGAGGAAAACCAAATCAATCCCACTAAAAAAATTTTTTTTAAAAATTGAAATATAAAGAACTGTAACATACACTAGATGTAAACATACTGGTTTTGTAGCTTTTTGTATTGTCTGAGGTGGTGTTCAGAGGTGGATAATAATGCACTGTTGCTGTCAGGGATGTTGATGATCCATGGAGCATCAGCCAGGTGTTATGCTTTACAGCCTTAAAAACTGAAAACTTCACTGATGATATTTCGTGACAGACTGTGAACTACTTAATTCTGCAGAACTCCAGGGTGTTCGTTCTTTTTGGAACTATGTTATAGCGTTATTAACATTCATGTGGCGGTAATTTTTTGGACAGTGTGGCTGATTAAATGAAGTAGGAGTTTTCTCAGGAGTGTGATCCTTGCCTCACGTTGATTTGTTTGTTGCAGCGTACAAGAAGACGGCGAGTGCGAGACCCTTGGGGAAACTGGTGTGATGCAAAGGATTTGGAAGGACAGACATTTGAGGTAACCCTTCTGTGGTTTAACCTTTCCTTACAGAATTAATTCTTTCTAATTGCTAGCAGGTGGTGTTGCATCAAATATCCAAGGGAAATGGTTGTGTAACAGGTACTTAACCTCTCTTCGGGGAAGCAATAATTTGAAAATAATGTAGCAGCTGTTACGTTTTTATGCTGTTGATAAATACAACTGTACTTTGGTGTTTACAAAGGTGCTCATGTTGTGAGCATGTTTGGCTCCACACTGTTTTATGCCTCTAAAGCTCTTTGCCTTATCTTGTCAGAGATTTCATGACCCTTTGTTTTCAGTTAACTACATTACTAAAGCTAACGGTAGGGCATAGGAGGATAAGATTAATTTTTTTTTTTTCAGTCCTATATGGTTTTTTTGTGCTTATAATGCAGGTAATGTGAGTTCCTAATATGAGTTCTGCTACTAGCAATAGCCCCAGAAATACTGTGGTTTATGAAATGCTTAGAAAAATTCGTAGAAGTTTAAATATTTTATAGAAGACTTGGAAAGAAAATAGCCACTTGTCCATTCCTAAGATTTCAAATTATACAAAAAGCGAAGAATGGTAAATATCCTATTTTTCTTGTACAGAAATTTAAATTTGCAACCTGCAGTAATAAGTACCTATAACAATTACTTCCATAATGTTATAATGCCATACCTATTTTTGAGTAACTGTGGTTAATAATTCTGACACTTTCTGCAAAATACATATTTATATGGAAATAAAGTTTGAAAACACTCATCCCTGAAGAGGGGTCATGATATATTCTGGCCTCAAATTGTAATGGCAGATTTTCTCCTTGGTTATCACACCGACATTTATGCATGGTTTGTGGTATGGGCTGTGGCTTTACTGAAGTTGATTGACTTGGGGAATGTAAGAACTCCCTCATCATTCTTTTTGTGGACTGAATCTCTGATTGTCATTACTTTCACACTGTTTGATTCTGCTATGGCTGTTGCCCTCTATTTTCGTTATTCCTGTAACACACACACATAAATTGATAGTATATCCAGAGGGCACTGATGGTAAGAATTTATTCTGGGCTGGTTTTGAAATCACTGCTGAAAGAGCACTTAAGACATTAAGACAGATTTTGGTTTTTTTATGTGTTTTTAGCATCTGTCTGCTGAAGAATTAGCAAGAAGAAGAGAGGAAGAAAAACTGAAACCTCCAAAATCTTCTAAAGGTTCAAGACAAACAAAAAGGTATTTGATGTACATCATGTTCAAATGTAGAACTTCTAGAAATGAAACAAATGTCTTGGGTAGTGTCTGGCTGGAAGGCTGCACGTGATTATACTACAACCTGAAATGACACGTATGCATTTCAGATGTTTCATATTGAAATTCACGAGTGTGGGTAGTGAAGTTTCTGTATTTGGTGGAAGTCATCCTAGTGTGGGATGAGACAATCCAGTAAACAAGGTTATTCCTCCTCTGCCAAGGAGACAGTGGGAAAATTGAAAAGTTTCCTGACTGTCCTACATCTTTAGAGAAATTTTCTTTCGTTTTATAGTTCCTTTGATCCCTTTCAGCTGATACCGTGCTGTTTATTCACTGAGGAAAAACAGGTATGTACCTATGAGTGAGTAATCAAGAATGCTTCATTACTTCTGTTACTTCTCTTATGCTCATTATTGCGTTTATCATTTCAGGAACCTTTTCAGGTGAAAGTGTCTTCCGAAGCACTTTTAATAATGGATTTGGTGAGGATTAAGTTTTATCTTTCAAAAAGCTATGATGTATATTTTTGGTTTTTTGGTTTGGGGTGTTTTTTTTCCTTTAATGGGCAACATAAGAAGATTGAGAAATACAGTACTTGCATTATCTTCTTTCGATGCAGTCCTAGAAGTGAGAATCTAGTATTAAATAAAGCCCCTAAAGGTGAATGCTTTTTTTATGTTGTGCTTAGGTTTTGTAGAAGGTAAACGGTTCTACACTAATAATAGCATTGCTACTCTCCATCTTACGCTAAATATTGTTTGCTTACAGCTACTTTCTAAAACTTTTCATTTTGAAATCTTATGGGTTCATTTTCCACTAGTCTGGGAATTAATTTTGTGTTTATAAAGCAATGTGTGTTTTTTAGATAACAACAGGTTGTACCAAAATTCGTGCAGTTGTGCAGCACTGCACAGCATTGCACAGGCTTCAGTTTTCGAAGCTAACATTGCTTCACGTATGGAAGTGTTATACAAATGCACTATATACATGAAGGTATATAATAAGCAAAGAAACTTTTCTGTTTTTTTTTAATTTGAGACACTGTGTGTTTGAGACTCTTTAGCTATCCTAAGTTTTCCTTCTAAAGGGCATTGAGAAGTTACTGACTTGTGGCTGTGAGGCCAATGTGTTCTGTCATGTGCAGATCAAAAGTGGAAGAACTCGTACAACTTGGACTTTAATAATTGCTTAATCTCATTTTAGCACTCCCATGTGTCTATGGCAGAAGTAATAGGGCTGCTGGGTGGAAGATACTCTGAAGCTGATAAAATTGTAGAGGTAAGTGTTTGTCTTTTTAAATGTCTGTAAAATATTAAAATTTTCATGATAATTATACGTAATTTGAATAGATGTAAATCTTATTTCTGAAGGGGAACTACTTCATTATATTGAAGTTGAAGTTCATTACTGTAGTTGTGAAATGTTCAAGTTATGCTCATGTTCAAGTGTTGGCCTGTCAACTCTGTCATGAGGAAAGTCTGGTGTATGACTCTCAAAATTCTTTAGATTTTATTGAACTGATGGAGATTTCTTGCATTTATCCATCTGGAGACTTTTTTCACAGGTCTGTGCAGCAGAGCCGTGCAATAGTCTCAGTACAGGACTGCAGTGCGAGATGGATCCAGTATCTCAAACACAGGCCTCGGAGACGCTGTCTGCCCGAGGATACAGTGTTATTGGATGGTACCATTCCCACCCGGCCTTTGACCCCAACCCCTCCATACGAGATATTGACACTCAGGCTAAATACCAGGTACTTGCTGGTCTGTACATTAAAAATAAATAAACAGCAAAGAAAAAACCCCAACAGCCCTAAAGCCTTCCTGACATTTACAATGTTAACACACATTATTGCATTTTAAAATGAGTTCGTTCATAAATTGACATCAATTCTGTTTAGTTTTTTTTTTAATTTCAGAATCCTGTTGTGAAAATGGTTGTATTTGTTGTACATGGGTTTTTTTGTGTGTTTTTGGTTTTCTAGAGTTATTTCTCCAGGGGTGGTGCCATGTTCATTGGAATGATTATAAGTCCTTACAACCGCAATAATCCTCTTCCATATTCTCAGATTACTTGTCTAGTAATTAGCGATGAGATCAGTTCTGATGGTTCCTACCGTAAGTACCAATATTTTATCCATTGTGTTAATTTTTCTTTTCCTTTTGGATACTAAAGGGAAAAATGTCTATTCTTGAACTTGAGACATAGGTATTTATATATTTGTGTTAGTAACTTGTGCAGTACAAACCCAAGAATTTCACTTAGAGTAATCCTGCAAGTCGTCCCTGCTGTCATGACAAGAACACAGAAGTATAAATAGACAAAGATTGTTTTTCTGTATTAGTATTTCCCACAATCTGGGAAAGAAATTAAAGGGTTGGGACAAGAGTCCCTGTTATTTACGTACAGTATCCATATGAATAGCTGAGAAGCTGCTTCATGTGTATTATACTTTGCTGCGTTACAAAATTCAGAAGAGATCCTCTCATCGAGGGGATGGAAGTATAAAAGCAAAGAATTGGCTGCTACAGTGGCCAAAAATCCTTATTTGAGTAACTTAGCATTCAGAAGGTCAAAGGATGAAACTTGCCAGCTGTCCCGGAAAACAGAAGATAGGAACGATGAAATGCTGTGCTGGCATGAATCCCAACCTAAGAGAACAAATTCTTCATTAAAAACGTCATTGGCATTTCATGAAAATAGGATGTTTTCCTTTCTTGAATAGTTAAGAACCTGTCGTATAAAATTTATGGTATTTCAAGTGATGATCAGATCTTCTGCTCATTCTGTTACATTAATTTGAGGAAAATTCCCAGGATAACAGTATGTGGTTATGGTAGCTGCCTCTTCTCTCTCTCCTCCTCCCTCCCCCTGTTTAAGGCTTGATTTTTGCATCCCAACTCCAAGGTTTCCAGTTTTCTTGGCAAGGCAACAGCAGAGGCCATGTGAGCAAACAGTTCCCCCTCTGTTTTTTCCTGTGGAAGTAAGCAAGGGAGACCATCTGTCTGGAGACTTGCTTCATAGTCCTAGGGGAAGTGAAGCGGTGGCCACATCTGTGCGATAATTCCTGTTTACTATACTGATAGTCCCGTGATCTTATCCTTGTTTCCCATGCATCCCACCCTTGTGGAGTTCAAATACTTAAAACTTTATCTGCCCTTAGAAGTAGACATGGTTCTGCTCACATACATTTTCTGTCTGACAGGACTTTAATTTCTCTCCTGAAATAAAATTTTTACAAAATGGTATCTCCTCTAGCTCTTTGGAGAAGTTCTGCTGTGGCTGTAGCACTAGAGTACTGTGCAAATGAACAAAAATCAGTATTTCACAGGAGCCATAAATATTTCTATAGATTAATTCTTACTCTTGGAAATGCATTCTGCACTGAACAGTTTTCATATTTGAGATGTGTTCATCTCAATCATTGTATTTATAGCTTGCTTTTCACTTAGCCTGAGGTCTAGTTGGAAAGCATGCGTGTCATCTCATTAAATTCTTATGACCTTGGAAAGGCTTTTTTTTTGTTTTTTTTCTTTTTTTTTGACTTACTGAAATTTGCAGTCTCTTTCTTACTGACTTTTGGTAACTGAATATTCTGCAAGTATTTTTCTGGTGTTCCTTTAGAATACTTTCTAAATTCCTTTGCCCCCACCTGCAATAAATTAGAAGAATTTCTTCCTTTAGGAGCAAAATTCCTCTGAAATCTAGAACAATTGTCAGATGCTTCATCAGCCAGTTCATACATGAAAAAAAACCAAACCTTTGTTATTCATTTAATAACCACATAGATCTTAGAGAGACTACAAAAGTGATGCTAAGTTATAAAAAAGCTATTAATTTCATTTTGTTGTAGATTTCTATGTGCTTCTTTATGGCATGCGGAATTGTCGAGGGCAGGGAGGAGAACAGGTTTGCTCCCAGCTCCCACCAAAATTAAATTCGGAATCCAAAATACGTCATACTTTTATTTGAACCTCCTTAACATTGGCAAGTAACAGGAGTGCAGGCTTCTGCAGTTAGTAAGAAATTATGAACAGTTATGGGGAAGGAAGGGATTGCACCTCAGACTGAAAAAGTTGAGTGTACTGGAAACACTGAATAATCCATGTTCAATTGATTACAGGCCTGCCCTACAAATTTGAAGTACAGCAGATGTTGGAGGAACCTCAGTGGGAATTAATATTTGAAAAAACGAGATGGATAATTGAAAAATACAGATTCTGTCATAGGTATGTGTCTACTTCTATTGTAAAGAATAGCCAGTGTAGAATTTTTGCATGTTTATTGATGTTTCAATGTGTGTCTGCATTCTACAGCACTGTTCTTTGCTTTTCTTTCAACAGCAGTGTCCCCATGGATAAAATTTTTCATAGAGATTCTGACCTGACTTGTTTGCAGAAAGTAAGTTTTCTTATTTTAGCTTTTTAAATTTTAAATATTCTTTTAAATACAAATAAGTTTCATATCATCGGAAGTCACCTGAAGTTACATTTTTACAAATCAGAGATGTAAACTAATCACAAGAAATTACTTGTGTAGTGCAGTTTATTTACTTACAAACAATGCAAACAAAGCTGTTCACTTGGGAGGGTTTGGGACAACAGTTATGTGCAAATACCAAGTTTTAACCTCAGTTTGGAGAAGAATGAATGGCAAATTAATAATGTCTCTTCTCAGCTTTCAGTGTCGAGCACTGCATGTGTTTTGAGAGAGGATTTGGACTTCCTAGTCCTCTGTCTGATCAGTCCAGTAGTGCTGTGCCATGTTTGTCATGCATAAGCGCAAACTTTAATTTTTCAGTCAGTGTAGTCATTGCTATGAAGTTCTGAATAGCTACAGCTGGAACATTACTTGCCCAAACAAGACAGAGGATCTGCCCAAAGCAAAATACACAAACAGAAAACACGTGTGCAATAATTACCTACATGTATTGTGGTTTTTTTCCTCTCAATGTGACTTTGCTTATAAATGGCTTAAATCTAAAATTGAGTTGGTAGAATACTCTTGAATTTAGCTGCTGTGTAATTGGTTTTAAATCACCCATGTGTTCCTGTGTGATTGCTCCTTTCTAGAATTTACATTGTCCAGTTGAACACTTTCTGTAGTGTTAATCCCAAATAAATAAGTAAAAATGCCTTGGGAATACTTACCAGCTAGTAGGGGAAAAAATAAACTCGGGGAAAAATTACAGTTCTAAAAAATTCTCCTTTTCTTTGGACTAGCTTTTGGAGTGCATGAGGAAGACTTTGGGCAAAGTAAGAAACTGCTTCGTTGCTGAAGAGTTCTTGACTCAGATAGAAAACTTATTCCTTTCCACGTACAAGAGTGAGAAAAAGAGTAATGCTGAAGAAAACGAGAATGAGTGTTCAAATGAATAGCCAATGTGATGGCTTTGACAAAACAAAATATGGGATTTTCTTTTAATTTTCTTCTCCTCCCCATTCTGTCAAGTCTTTCAGAATTATTACCTGTAACTCTTACAGAATCCAGTGTCATCTTATTGTTACGGTTTAAACATACTTTGAAAAACTCCCAATGTATGTGACCTGACTACCAGAGGAATGCTTAATACTAATATTTTGTATAAAAAAATGAGTGCAACAGAATTAATTGATAGACCAGCAGCCTGCCCTTTGGGAAGAAGGACAACCTGGCAAGAATACTCTGCTTCAGTCTGCAAGGAGAGTTTGTTCTCTCTGAGTTTGGGAATCTTCTCTTATTTTTTTATCTACAGGCACACATCTAACTCTGAATGAATGTGTTCCTTAATGCTTTAGAGATTGTAAGTTTGAATGAATTCACAAAAGAGAAACTTATGACTTAAATGAAAATTTTGTAGCTCGCTAATTCCAGACTTTCCTGGTATCCAGTCTGAAGTCTAGGACAGTTGTGATTTCATACGTCTTCTGATATTTTTTTTTCTTTTCCCCATTGATCCCTATGGTCAAGTACCTTCTTGGCATGTTCTTTGCCGTTTCGTTTCTATATTGGGGAGGAAAAGCTGGCAAGTTTTCATGACTTCTCAGTAGTAGTTGTGCTTGTTTCCAGTGGAAATGGTAACTCCTGGCTTATTACAGGTTGCGGTCTTTCTGATCTTCCATTTTACGGGGAGATATGTTGTTCTGCCAGATCATTGTGATTTGTCCACTTCTAATTGCCACTGTTTCCTGTGGAAACAAGAGCTTGATTGATGGCAAACTTAGTGCAACAAGCAGAAAAGTATTTGTCATCTTAAAGAAAAAAGAACACCAGCTTTTATATTCAGAGTCTTCTCTATAATGCGCGGTTCAGTAAGAAAACATACTGGTTTGTATCAGTTCTTCACTTATAGCTTCATACAAGTATACATTCAGATAAATTCGTTATAAATTGATCTTGATTGAGAAGTTTCTTGATTGCAACGTGGAAATGTTTCATGAGCTATATCACTGTGAATCTTGATAGAAAAAAACGTGCTTTAAATTTTGCTTTCTAAATCATGAGGAAACTTGACTTGTACACAGTTACTGCTACTTACACAGATTTATCTTGGGCAAAGTTTTTCTCAGAGAGGTCTAAAAACTATTTGAAAACATGAAGTAAGCAAGACCTTCAGTTTTTATCTAGAGGGGTCACAATGAACCCAATTCTTATTTAAAAAAAAATGTGTGTATATATCTAGTTCTGCATAACATAAATGTAATTTTAAGATTTATATATGTTTACATTTTTAACATCAGCTTTTCATTTGTATAAAGAGTTTGAAAAGCTTTAAAATTGTAGAGTTGCATCCCAAGGAGGGAACTCCTTTACAGGAAGTTAAAACTATTTTATTATCATGCCTCATGGAATGTTCCTCCCTTTCTGTTAGTACGTGAAAGGTGCAGAACCTGATCGTATTGACAGCGTGAGCCCTTGTTACTCAGTGATTCTCCCAATGCCGATTCAAGAGCTGTGGACTTAAAAATATCGGTAAATGTTCTTTGCTCTCTTCTGTGTTCAGATCTGCTGGTACGCAGCTTTAGATCCCACTACTACGTGTATTTTACAAACTTGGTGTATCCGTCTATAGAAGGCATGTTGACTCCATCTGCATATATTCTAAAAAGTCATCTTTAGGACTTCCTAATTAAAAATATTGCATGGCTTCCTGTATTTCTAGTTCAAACCACACTCTTGGTGAGAAAGCATTCCCTACGTAGTTGTGGAGTGGTCTGCAGTGTAAGGTATTCTTTTGCAGTCTCATATAGGTTACTCTCTAGAAAAATCACCCAGTATAAATGTATGTGCTAAAAGCTGTAATTAGTTCTGATTGGTAGGAAGAGAATTTTGAACCTCAGTGTAACAGCTGTATGAAGTAGATCATGTTCTTCATCCACATACGGTCTGTTTCCAACCATGTAGGGGGTGGGTGTATTACCCAAGTAGTGGTAGCAATGTGCTCACTGCTTCTCTGTCTAATGATTAAAATTAGTTAAGGTAATAACAGCTGTATTAATTGGATTTAACAGTGATGAAGTAAAACATACTCTTGAAGCAGTTTGTCTCTTGAGAAGAGGACATGGCGCAGCACTGAGCCTTTGATATGCACACAAAGACTCCAGATTTTCTAAGAGTTTATTAGCAGGGTGGTGCGGGAGGAAATACAACTGCTAGTACCATTGTAATCCAGTATTGTCACATGATATTGTATGTGAATTGGAAACACCACATTTGTGATGCTAAGGAAAAATTTTGTTGTCAGGAGCCATGGTAAGAAAACAAATAACCTACTGTTCATAATTTATTTTGACTGTGCAGTTAATGAGTTTGGAAGTTGCATGCTTCTAAGAAGAAAAAAATCTATTTTACTAATACTACCAGTTCTGCTACCAAACACATATAAGGCATTAATTTTTTTTGGGGGGGAGGGAGA